CCCCCCCCCCCCCACAAATCAAACTAAAAAACTAGTCATACAGCTCTTGTAATCTGTTTCGATGGGAGGGGGGGGGGTGTAACATGTACTAGTAATAGTAAGTATGAAGAGAGACAGATAAGGCCTATACTAGTACCAGAAGACAGACCGACGAAAACACTAGACCTATCTAGATCTAATAACACCGTACTTCCAAAGGGTTTGCAACAAAACTGGCTCAATTAAAGTTGAGACCACAAAAAATCTAATTAGCGGAATGAGAGAAGACAAGAAAACCATCAGATCAAGTCAATGAAGTTGTTTAAAATACAAAAAATCTAATCAAGTTCTCACCTTATGAACTCAGGCTATTGTTCAATTCAGATGTGTAGGCGAAATCACCATGAGTATCACAGACAGTCCTTCTCCTTTCCAAGTGTCTCGATTTTTAAATCAACTACAACAGTGGTATATATGCTTGAAATCGTCAGGATAACCAAAACAAAACGAAAGTAATTTTCATGAAAACAGTTGTTGGCTTGACCACGCGCTGCCTACTTCGTGGAGTTTAAAAACATTTTTTTAGTTGTTTGTTTTCTGTGTCTTGGGAGTTGTTTTTGGGTTTTTTTACGTTTTGATCCCGAAAGTAGGCCCTAAATCCTCGAATTTCCAGCCTAAAACCAAGAGGAAATGCTGTCTATCCCTGTCTGTGATGTTTGATGCTCGGGCGACTATGCCCGTCTACTCCCCCCTCCTCTTTAACACAGCAATAACAACACATGTAAGCGAGAAGTGGAGGAAGTGCGGTCGCTCTCGCTGACGGAAAACCATTAACGGCGGTAAAAATGAAATACATGAGATTAAGAGCCGGATCTGTGAGACTGTGAGAGGTGTTGGTGTCGGGGCGGGGGGAAGGGAAAAGGTTGTTATTCGATATGCGCGAATCTTGCTTGTTGTATCGAGGGAGGAAGCCCTATAACGATAACGTCGATATCTGTTACTCGGATTTAAAAGGGAAATG